ACAAGATACTATCAAAGCTGGAATGGGGGGGAAAACAAAGGCTCTCTCTGTCTGTGTGTTGTTTTTGCCAGGAACAAAAAAGGAATGGAGCCTTAGAACTTAGTAAGTAATCTAGCTAGATATGCGTTAGATTCTGTTTTGTTTAAATGGCTGATAAAATAAGCTGTGCTGAATGGAATGTATATTCCTGTTTTTGTGTCTTTTTGTAACTTAAGGTTTTGCCTAGAGGGATTCTTTATGTTTTGAATCTGATTACCCTGTAAGGTATTTACAATCCTGATTTTACAGAGGTGATTCTGTTACTTTTTTCTTCAATTACAATTCTTCTTTTAAGAACCTGATTGCTTTTTCAGTGTTCTTAAGATCCAAGGTTTGTGTTCACCTGTGCAAATTGGTGAGGATTTTTATCAAGCTTTCCCCAGGAAAGGGGGTGTAGGGTTTGGGGAGGATTTTGGGGGGGAAAGACATTTCCCAGCAGGCTCTTTCCCTGTTATATATTTGTTAGGCGCTTGGTGGTGGCAGCAATAAAGTCCCAGGGCAAAAGGTAAAATAGTTTGTACCTTGGGGAAGTTTTAACCTAAGCTGGTAAAAATAAGCTTAGGGGGTTTTCATGCAGGTCCCCACATCTGTACCCTAGAGTTCAGAGTGGGGAAGGAACTTGACATGGTGGCAGAGCGGTGGGATTAACTTGAAATCATTTTGAGATCAATTTGAGATTTTTTGAACAAGAAGCACAGATTTTAAAAAGCCCTTTCCCCAGTGCAAAAGGAAGGCATCTGACAGGGAGTGACTGTCCCTGCTCACTCTGGAACAGAAGAGGAGACACTTTGTTGTCACTCATTGCAAATAGGTCCACCTCTAGTTGACCCAGCCAGAGAATATAGTCTGAACGAACTGATCCTTTAGGGACCATTGGTGCATCTGAGAGCTGTCTCTGCTGAGACGGGCCGCATCTACATTGTTTTCCCCTCCCAGATACAGAGCCACAGGACAGATGTTATGACAAATACACCAATCCCATAGACTTATCTCCTCACATAGGAGAACAGAGTAATAATTGTCATCTTTCTTAGCAACAGATTGACAAGAAACAGACATGGCTCACATGGATTTAGCTGGCTGTAGCAAACTATCTAAAATGGGTTGGGATACTCTATTCCTCCAAATCTCCCCAAGGATATCAAATACCAGGTGAGAAATCTCTTCCACAGACACTGCAGGAAGATTTAAAGTGGACACTTGGTCCATCAACTCATGGAACTGTGTAGCATCCTCAGGAGGAGACTGAAACCACCACCACCATATGACCATCCAGTGATAAATCTGGTTCATAGTCAGTTTCCACATGTTCCTCAGACATTTCAGGCATCACAGTCAGTAACAACAGTGGATTCAGAGGAGTCAGATCTGAATACCTCTGGATTGCCAGATCCTTAACAGATGAAATGTTATCTCTCCATCCACTGGGAGAGTAATTAAAAAATTCCTGACATGGCCTCCAATAAGGCTATGGACCCCAGGATTGCTAGTCTCCCCAGCAACTAGAGTTTGGCAACATGCAGGAGGCAGACCATAGGATGTTACAAAGTGAGCCACAGCTCTCTGTGTGCTTTCTGTGTCTTCCTCCTAGCAAGGATCCAGGTCTGGATCAAAGATAGAGTATAATGGTGATAGCAGTGGAACCAAGGGAAGAATGGGGATCTGGTGCTTTGTGGAGACCCCGTATAGGGGTTCTAGGAAGAGGAAGCAAAGAGTGTTACAGGAAAAGACCCACAGTATTTTCTGGCCTCTACTTCTTTAACAGGGGACAAGGAAGATGACCAGGGGAAAATGTCTCCTTTTAGAAACCCCGTTTCCCCACTTAGAAGCAATGAAGCAAGTGGAGCCAGAAGGTGAACCTGAGCTGCTACGGTGACAGAGCTCTCCAGAACCAAGGATGTAGCTAGAACTGATCTGGGAACAATGGATCCAAAGAAGTGACATGAGATCCAGCGTTTAACAGAAACCCATTTCCTTTACTACCAAAGATGGATCTCCATTTCAGAGCTGTAGCAGTCTTGTCAGAACTGAACAGATCTGATAGTACTGATGCACATGAACCAGCACTGCTAACAGCAGCCATTTTGTCTCTATGCCGTGACAGACAGAACCAAAGGCACTGATGGCCCAGATTCTGATACATCAATCAAATCCATCTTCCTGGATTCGGAAGTGGAAGTCAGAACTGGCCCTAGTCCTGCAGCTGCAGGGGTTTCATCAGGGTCAGATAACTGGGAGGAACAAGGTACGGCACTGGTGAGGGTGGCCGAACTCTGTCGACCACTCTTCTGGGACTAGGACAATTGTATCTGACCACCACATTACCTTGGCTTGGACATGCGTAGCCTTGGGGGCTTGACTGAGGAGCCATAGGAACTGAATTAGACCACAACAGAGTTGCAGCTTCTTGGAATCTTAGAGCCAGTTGGTGCTAGTAGCCATAGGGGCAGAGCCTGGTCTCTTAGACCAATGATCTGAAGCCTGATTGGGTCCAGAGGGTTCAGCCTCAAGGCCTTCCTTTGGAAGGAAGAGCTGCAAGTGAGTCTCCCCAGGAGACTTTTTCTCCCAGGCACATGTGGTCACTGAATGCTGGGAGGAAGAGCACTTCTGGAGAAACAAAGGAAGCTGGGATTTAAGTAGCTCCATAACCCAGAACCAGGAAAAAACGTATATACTAACTACTGAACGAGCGTAACACTATTTCTAAGCAGAAAGAAACTATGGCTTCAAAGAAACTGGAGTGATTCACATGCATCCAGGCATGCAGTTGGAAGGAACTGGGTTGGGGAGGGCGCTCTGCCACCTTTATAGCATTGCTCTCAGTGCATTGTGATGGTGAGGGGAGAGGCAGAGGAGCACATGAGTGTTCTACCTGACACTGCTAGAGAGAGGTTTTACCACAAGGCAGTGCAGTACCCATAAGTAGGAATACGTAGATTTGCTCAAACAATAATAATTTATTCTTTAGATGACAGAATGGGAGCTCATATGTCACAACAGACTGGAAAATGGTTTCTAGTCCATACCTTTCACAAAGTATTAGCTCTGTTTGGAAGGTGGGAGTTAGATGCATCTCTTAAAATGCCAGAGGGTAATCTGGTTCTTTCCCACTCTATTTATTTAAATATGTCATTTTAAAAAGATTGATACTCTGTGGGCTCAGGTTGTGAATTCCAGTAGACTACTAAATGCAAGTTTGCAGGTATTCAAAGCATTAATATTATCCACCCACTTTCACTGTTTGCTCCATTAGGTCATACTGGTGGTGCAAGTCTCTCTTATTTGCAGTTCCTCTCCACTGGACACACATTCACACAGTTATTTGTGAGATGGAATGGTTGAGTTGCCAAAACATCCAGTTTGAAATGCGTAGATTCCCAGGACCACAAGTCTGAATCTGACTAGAATTGACTACCCTTTCTCCTGCTCAGATAGCCATACTGGACCTTCCCCTTCTACAGAAAAATTGACAAAATTACCAGGATCTTTCCTAAGGCTCACCTCACTGAATTTTGTAAGAAGCAATCCCTCCCAGGGCCGGGTTTTGGAGGTCCATGGCATTGGGTAATGTCCCAAACCCATAGACTTCCACGCCATACTTAATCATCAGAGCTGGCTCTAGCTCCCTCAGACCTCACACAGCCTCTCTCATGTGGAACAAGGAAGCAGGACAGGACTGTAGAGAGACTGCTGAAAATAAAGGACAGCCCAGATGAATGGGAGCAAAAAATCTAAGCAGTTGCTACTGTACCTGGAAGTGCCTTAATATAGGAAGGACTAATAGCACCAAACACAATATTTTATGCTTTTTCTTCTTTAAATAAATGATACTTTCCTTTTAAAAAGGCATTTATTTAAAATGCTACTATGGTTAAAATAATTTTTTTTCCAGTGACTATTACAATTTTCTATAGCACATATATAGTAACGGGAGTGATGGGTTTCAAAAAGAACACAAATACCAAGCTTTTTCTCTACCACTCAACTCTAACGTTGAAATGCTTTTAAAAGGTCACTTTTATGTTTTGATTAAATATTGTGGAGCATTGTATAGCAATCTGGTTTGTGCTAGTTCCCGTACGTGCTATCGCTATGGTATAATTAAAAGGGTCAGAGGCGTCCTCTGACCAGAGCCCACTACTTTAATTCAAGCCATTTCAGACAACTTGATCCACTGTTTATACAGTGGTGGCAGCAAAAAACGCACCTATGAGGCAGTTAGTGATGCCAGCCTCCACTTCGCAAACACATTTAGGCTAACTTTTATTTAAACAAAATCTACAATGGCAACAACTCTTCTTAGAATTTATCAGATGTATCATCATTGTAGCAAGAAGCACCTGTAGCACTACTGGTCCTCAGAAAAGAAGGCAAAATACTGCAGGTAAGAAGTATAGCTTTTTGGCTAGAATAGCTGTAGTTTGGTCCAACACACGTCTCACTACTTACTGGTACAAAAGCTACCACATAGTTATTTTGGGATCCAATTATATATCATCCTCTAGCTTATCCATGTGAGTGTACTAGTATGATTAAGGAACATTTGCCTCTCTGTTTGAAAGCAGTCATACTCACATTGCCATCTACCGCCGAGTACCTGCAAATTTCAGAGTCCAGGGTGTGTAGAGAGCTACAACACCCTTTTCAACTGGAGAATTAACTCCTCTGAATGAAATGAATCACGGGTGATAACGTTTTCACTTATTTTCTCCATTTTAATGTAAGTTATTTGAGAGAGACAAAATTTGGTCAAGGAAATTTCTTTTTAAAATATATTTCATAAATAAAAGTCAGTGAAAATGTGATATTCCAGCCACAAGTCATTGGATGTGGAATTTCTCTTAAGAGGTATCATCTAGGGTTGGTATAGGAGGGAGCAGAATCTATGTGAGTCTCACTTCCTCTTCCCCCTACTAAAAATAAAAGGTCTGCTTAAGCATCAAAGAGATTAGAGGCCCAGAACAGCTGAACAGAGGATTTTTAATTTTTTTTTAAACAAGGCGTTGATCAATATTAGAAAAATAAAAAGTATCATGACTATTCTACTATTGGTCTAAGTAATACTTTTAAGCAGGCTATTAACACTGCAGAAGCAGTTTTTTCACCATCCTTCAAGTATTGCTTTCTTGCTGTGTAGGTGTCAAAACAGAAAGCTCATCTTAAAATTTAAGGACAATTCCAGTGAGTATAGGATATTCTACCCACTACTTCTAGTTACATAGAAGAATAAATCAATATAGTTTAGACTCAGACTACTAAATATAAAAAAGTGTTAACAATCAAGCAGAAAGCTACCACCTTAGTCTGATACAAAGCAGGATTGCGAACATCAGCTTCATCATTCAAATGTAGCAAAAGTCAAAGGCCTGATCCAACTCCCAGTAGAGTCCAGTGGAATTTTTTTTAAAACCAACTTTAATGGGAGTTGTATCGGTACTCAAAGTGATTTTGGAAAGTTTAATTGTTAAGAATTTAAACATTTTAAGCCAGGCTAAACATTTAATTTCTTTTATGTAGTTTACTACCCAACTTTGAAACTCCCTTCATATGCATTTTTTCTTCAAATGAGTGAAACAGATACTTCAAATTCTATACTATCATTTTCCAATAGAGCCCCTGCTGAGAAATATCATTAGCCTCGTGATAAACCACAGCCTCATTCACTAAACAAATACTGAAAGAGTGACAGGTAAATAAAATCATACATACATACATGATGCATTTATTTAGCCATCTAAGCTATAACTAAGCACTACAGTTTTCCTTTAAGTTTTAGAACAAAGTATTTTTTCATCCACCTTGCTAAACCACTGTAAAGTCAAGTTGTATGTACTGTTAATTTATTTCAAGAGCTACAGCACAATATATATTTTAAAAAAATAAGACTATTGAATAACTTAATAGTGAAATATTTTTCTTGTAGTCTCCCAGTGAAGTGGGCCAACAAACAGATTGATGTTTGTCATATGTTAAAGATCAACTATAAGCACTTTTCTTCAAAATATTTCCAAAATGCATAAATTCACAAAATGAATATTGAGGGGGAATTTTCAAAACACAAAGTACCACTGGCTTTTGAAAATAGTTAACCTTAGGTATTATCATTCATTTAATCTATTTTAGGCTTTCTTGGCCAATGAAGTGCAGTCCCCTAGGCTTAAAATTCTTACTCTCGTGCAGATGTTCAGCATACACCAGTCTTGCAACATCTACATCATTTTTATCAGCCCTCAAGTGGGACATATCAGAGACAGTAGGTTTATTTTTGTTCAAAACAGAGTGGATATGATATTACGTATTATTTTATAGGAATAAGATACAAATCAAACTCACTCAGTACCAAATGAGACTTAAAGTACATTTGTCAAAAAGTTATTTTGGTTTTGAAGACATTCATTATTAAAACATTTTGTGGAAGACAGAGTGTTTTCAGTTTAATCCTTACAATGAACAAATGCTATTGAGACTCTGGACCCTAAAGACAGGCAACAGTATCTTCTATTTTTCTGATGAAGCACGTAAATCGGGCTCTTAGTTACAGCATCCATTCATGAATGGGTACTTAAGCTTAGAGATATTCCAGAAATCACCTTCCATTCAATAGAGGTTTTCGTTAGTAGGTTCTCCTCACTTTTTATACGTGGAATACTTTGGAGCCATCTATGTTTTTTCCAACAACAGAATTAACAACATTCCACCATGCTTCAGTGTCAGCAAGTGCTCTTTTCAGTCCAGGTACCTGATGATGATTGATGAAGCTGTCAGGCCTACAGTAGCGGATAGAGCAGTTTGGCAGGAATTCAGTGTTATTGAAAGAAATCTCAAATACTTATTCCATCTCCTTTGCTAACTTTAATCACATTATCAACATGCTGCCAAGAATGGAGCCTTGACACCAAGCCATAAATTTCCACAGGCAACCATTGTCTGCATAGTGCAATTCCAACACAGATAATGAGCAAGTTCTGTTTATTTTTACCTGTTTTTATTTTATATTACATAGTACTTAAAATAATATTTGAAAGCTCTTCCTGTCCCTCAGATTAGCTTGCATCAAGTTTCATTCTGTTATTGCATTTAAGTTCACTTGGTTTATAAAAGGATAATTAAGCTAAGTTATTCAGTTATATTGCTATTACATGAAGATTTTAAATCAAAAGAAATGATCATGGTGATGACAGGAGCTTACAAATACTCCTGTTAATCAGAACACAAATTAATACTGCAGATGCTTCACTTTTAATGCCACTTACCTGCTTGCCATTCTGACAAAAACAAAGATCTTTCCTCAACTGTATTAAGTTTATCACAACAGATTTAGGTAATAAGTCCCAATAAGGTGGGCATTGCTCATCCTACTGAGTGCACCAATGGCAGGACAAATACTTAACGTAAATACTGTACCTGATAAAATGCTAATGGAAGGATGGATATACTTTTAAAAGTTACTTTTAGGTGGTTTGGGCAGGGGTGGGGTGGAAGAGATTCTTAGGAGTATACAGCTACAAGAAAGCCATGAGCCAGTTACACAGAGAGAAAAAACATTGTTTCCTGTGCCCTCACAGCCACTCTTGTGGTGCCTATTTTAGAGGGCAATTAATATCTCAACTCGACTTCATAACAATGCAGCTGTAACTGTATCTGAGTAACACATTCTAGCCTTTCAGAATCCACTGTTTTGCAAGACATGCTGGTTTTCTCAAAATAACCGTTAATGAGTGTGTGTACATCCTGATTTCAGCCAAGCATGGCTTGCATTTATAATACCTGCTCTCTGTGGCAGGGCTGTGGCCTTATACAGAGATAATAAAAACTAAATTAAGCTTTCTTCCCCGCAGACGAGGCTGTCTTCACAAGCCAAGAAATTCTAGTTTGCAACTCCCTAAATTGATGTAGCCATGGTATAAAGGCAGAACTCCATTTCTAGACCTGCTGCCTGTCCTACAAACTAAGATACTAATAACACCAATCACCTTGAACAAAACAAGCTTGTAGAGGCACTTGAAGTTGGAGGTATGCAAAACTCTTCTTCCTAAATCAAACTTTTGTTATAGTTACAACAGGATGTGGGTTTTTTTCCCCCCCTATTTTGATTAGGCTTTCTGAAAGAACCTCAGTGTTGTTCTGATAAGTCTGAAGCAAAAGAGTACTGGCACAAAAAACCCCAACAACAATGAAAAAGGTCTTAAAAAGAAGAATATTTAGCCAGGTCCTTCTCCATCTCAGCATATTGTTCTTTAAGGCGCTCCATAGCTTTTCTGTGCTCTTCATCCACTTCTGCTCGTTTGTTGTGTTGGTCTTTCATGAACACTTCCCAATGGGCTAGACGCTGCTTTTCACCAGCCATTAGCATGTCAGTCTGAAGCTGAGAGGAGAAAGGGAAGTTATAGAAACTGTTTCTAGATGAAGACAGTGGGTTAATGCAGATTTGATGACCTTACAAAAGCAAAACATATTAAAGAGATCAGCTTTCATTCCAGCATCAGAAAGTAAAAGTTATATTCATCTAGTCACACTGCACGAATCAAAAGAAAAGTTGTAACCATGCAGCCTCATCACATAATTAATGGCAACTTGCCTCTATTCTAGACTAGCCACAAAAAAAATAAATAAATAAATAAAAAAAATAATCAAACTCTAAAGATAACACTTCCATTCGGCTACAATCCACGTAATTTCTGTTATCTGATACTGGAAGTACTATTCCTAACACTACTCCTGATCTTAGTATGGCCTATCCCACTTGCCCACATTTTGTTTTAAAAAAGCACTTTTGATCACAGGAATATGCTATTTATTGTTTGTAGTCTCCATCTTGGTTATGTACACTACAGATACCTAGAGTGGAAATGGACACAGTGTTACCTTGTTCATTTTGAAAGAAACTGGCTAGACCCTCAGACAGGGAAATTCATCATTTAAGCAAGAATTTCTGGCTATTTCAGGATGGCTTAGAGATTAGAAGGGGAATTGTTTAAATAAACTCTAGCTCATTTTTTAAAAAATATCTTAGCCCAGTTCTTTCTGACCAGCCAGGGAGCTATGCCTGGCACAGCAAAGACAAACAGGTGATTCTATGGTTTAACAATGCTTTCAAAATACATCTAGTCTGTGTTACAAAAGGCTGATATTGGAAAATATTGTGCCCACTATATTTCACATCTGTGAGAGAGAAATAAAGTACAATTTTAGGGAGTCAAATGTGTTCATTTAGTGTGTGTATTTGCACTGAAGATTCCTGACTTCCTGCACGGGAGCCTAAAGAGAGGTGATTCTTCAAACATCACAAGGACAAGTGCAAAATGGTTGCCTCTTGTAATGGCTGAAATCCCATCACAACTATAAATATAGAGAGCCTCAAAATTTAGTGAAACAGACAAAGATGGGTAACAAATAGTGTGTACTACTGTACATGTAGTATATTTCAGTCCACCTTTCATTGTGTTAGTTCTATTTTTCTGTTGGTTATACCTTACACATCAACCTCAGTATAAAAATTAGTGTTTTGTTAATTGAAACAAGAACATGTTTAAATATCTCAATGGATATTTTTAAACTCGTAACAAAACAAATTTCCAAAACACTATAATGGTAAGGTTCAATATTACCACCAGAAACAAGTCTTGATGAAGAAGCCTCTAAGGCCAAAGGAAAAAAGACAGACCATCTTTGTAGTTATTTTCATATTTTGACTTTTGGGAATTGGTAGATTGTGTTTCTCATTCAGCCAAGAAGTTTTCACTGTGCCTAATGGTTTTTATACATATTTATCATTGGTAATTTTTCCTCAAGCTTCCACATTACTCATTGTTTCTGGTAAATAGGATTCTGTTCACCCCCTTGTCTTGAAAGAAAGACAGTTCTAAAGAAAGGTGAACAGACATTAAAAGACGAGCTTTTACCCAATATTTGTAAGTAATAGTCTGACCTTCTAGTGTTTTATTCCAAGAACAGAGAAATCGCAATAACTCTGTACAGCTGTTTTTACATCGGTTCTGTTGATCTTTCATGGGTGACGGTACATCAGCGTTTTCTATCCATTTTCTATATAGAGTAGTTCAGCAAAGGAGTAGTACAATTGTGCAAACTCATATATTCATCCAATATTTTAGCAAATTAAGATGGATTTACACTACATGATGTCTAGCTTGTTTTTATTCCTCCACATTATGTATTTAGCTTTTTCATGCAAAAATAAATCATGGTGTCAACATGCTAATTTTACCACATAGCACTCAAAGTGCCGTTGCACTATCACTCATTGAAAAGTTCTGCATATCTTCTTTACAAAACAGAGCAGCTGTTAAAAAAATACGTAACTATAGTCCCATCAGAGAGCTGGTATTTCTATACCTTTTCAATTTTTGAAGTGTTAATGAATTGTTTATGCAGTTTATTAATAATGTATCTGAATGATTATAGAGTGCCTACCTGTAAGTAACCACAGTTCAGATTGGACTGGACTGCACCCCTGACAACATGGTTTGCAGGAAAACAGCAAGTATTACCATGTTCTGGAGTACCATTTCCACTCACGTATAAAGTAATTGAGATGATAAAACCACTGGACACTTGGGGAGCCTTAGATGTCTATTATATCTAAGGCTCCCCAAATGATTTAGGATACTAAAGATCACTGGTCAAAAGATTGCTTCCTTCTCCACCCTTTTTCCTTCTTCTCCAAAACAGTCTTTCTAGTTTGTCTTGGCCCAAAAGAAAGACATTGACAAAGTGATATTAACAGCCAGGCTCTTTGGGTTCCTCAAAAATATGATCAAATAGGATTAAACAATTTAATGCTGAAAAACAACTACTATAATTTTTACCCTTTAAATAAATACAGGCAGTGTACTAATGAAAAAGTAAACGTATCTTAACAGAATTGTCCTAAGTTTCATAAAGTAATGATTTTATGCACAAAATAAAAATGAGTCTGAAGGGTTGTAAACTGAACTGCAATATAAATGGAGACTTGAAAATATGAATATGAAGATATGAATAGTATACATTTTTAAAATCAGAAAGCAAAAGATGACATTAAAACTAGCCTATGCCAGAGCAAACAAGCAGGAATGATCGGATGACAGACACTACACAGTAGTGTGTTCATTCTCTCCACCCATATAGTGATGTGGAAATTTCAACCCAAAAAAAGACTCAGTGGTTTGGGATACTGAGCCTTTCACTTCTAGAACACAGGTTCAAAGACTAACTCAGTAAAACCCCTAAATCACTGCTATTTGATGGCTGTTGAGTGACCTGTATAAAATGAGTTTATGGCCTAACTCAGTAAAACCCCTAAATCACTGCTATTTGATGGCTGTTGAGTGACCTGTATAAAATGAGTTTATGGTCTCAAGAGGACAGGTACCCATATCACAAAGAACACTGCCTTGGCATACCTTTGGCAGTCTCAGCAGGTAAAAATGGAAGGCCTGGACACGAAGAGTGAACTATCCTCTTTACGCTCTATTTGAAGGCCCAGGCACACAAGGTGGGGATGTATGCAGAAGCTTGCATTGCTACCTCCTGTGAATGGAGGATTTGGGTCTCCAGGGCTGTCAGTCCTGTACATTTGACACATGCTACAATTTAAAAAAAGTATATAGCCCATATTCTCTCTTACTGTCTCAGGGAGTTCCCTCCCCCGCAAATGTCTGCATTACCAAGACTCCCTCAGCCTTAATTCTAACATTTTATTCACTAAAAGAAAAGGAGGACTTGTGGCACCTTAGAGACTAACAAATTTATTTGAGCATAAGCTTTCGTGAGCTACAGCTCACTTCATCGGATGCATTCAGTGGAAGAATCCAATGAAGTGAGCTGTAGCTCACGAAAGCTTATGTTCAAATAAATGTGTTAGTCTCTAAGGTGCCACAAGTCCTCCTTTCCTTTTTGCAAATACAGACTAATATGGCTGCTACTCTGAAACCTGTCATTTTATTCACTGACACCCAAAATATCCCCATCAATGCACTTACAAAATGATATTCTAATTTACCCAACTGCTAGCTCTGTCATTAATACTCTCACTTCTGGCCAGGAAATTCAACATTAATCTCAACATAAGAACACAACAGGACTATGTACATTACTAAGCCTTTACAGGAAGCTTCTTGTCTATGCAACAGGTCTTTAAGAATGACAGCATGAGCAATAAGCAGAAGGTTCTCTAGTACTTGACTTAATTTTGTTTGGTAAATTGATATTCACCTACGGTGAAAAATCCAAAGAACTGTACAACCTTAAGGTATACTATAAGTCACGTACAGAAACTTGAAACTACTCTGATCATATATCAACTAAAGCAAAAAAATATGATCATACAACAAGATGGCTTTTATCTCGCATATCGCACAGAGATGCTGGGAGTTTATTCTCCCCTTAATGGTTTTATGGAAATTTTCCAGTCTTGGTAACTAACAAACACAATTTAGTCACTGCACAGATAAACACTAGGAGGCTCCCTCAGTAAAATTCAGAAACACAATGATACATTCTATACTAACAACCTAGAGGGATTAGACACGAGCTCCCTTTAGTACTGTACTACATGCAAAAAATATTAACTTGCAGATAAGGGTTATATTATTCCCTATATCATCTTTAACAAAATACTTAAGTACATTACCATTAAAAACACCTAATCCCCAAAGGAGGGAAACAGCAAGTAAAGTAGTTTATTAAAATGTGAAAATCCACTTCACACTTTCCAACAACATCCTTAAGTGACCAGAGAGATTTAAAAGCTTTTCAACACAGACATTATCAATCATACACTATACTAGAGATATACACATGAATTTTCTTCAAAAATGCACTGCCCCACACCCAAACCACCTCCAATTATCTGATCTACAAGGCATACTTGACAGGTTTCAGAGTAGCAGCCGCATTAGTCTGTATCCGTAAAAAGAAAATGAGGACTTGTGGCACCTTAGAGACTAACAAATTTATTTGCATCCAATGAAGTGAGCTGTAGCTCATGAAAGCTTATGCTCAAATAAATTTGTTAGTCTCTAAGGTGCCACAAGTACTCCTTTTCGTCTTAAGATATACTTGAGTGGCTCTTAGAATAAATAGGTGAATTTTCACAAGTCACTGTTATTAGGTGATATCATGAATTCTAGGTACAACAAAACATTATACAATTCATCATTACCATATTTTAAGATTTAAGCCAAGTTATATTTTTGTGGCCATCAAAAATTTTTATTTTTGTGTTAACAGCCCAGCACAAGTCAGTTTTGTGCCTGGCCTGGCAAATTTTCTTGACAATTTTGCAAGATTGTGGAAAAGTACGAAGTTATTTTCATCTTAAAGGAATGTTATTTCCAACTGAGACATTCTCTTCCTTGGGAACCT